AGCCATCACAGAGACAAAATCGAGACAGAGCTGATGGACGGACACAAAATAGTCTGCTTCTCTCCTAAACTACAGATCCATCAATGTCGTTCAGCTCACGTCATCTTTCCACTGAGATTAGCAGGATTTTTGAGTGCATACTGTGGCACGTACGTAATGAGGAGGATGTTTGAAAAAGAATCGCAGCAGATTGCTTTCACTGGTTTATTAGGCAGCCTGCGGGTTCAAACCTGTCTCCCCTTATGAAAGATTAAAACATCAGATGAAGGCTGCGGCGTACGCATTAACATACAACTTCCAGGGTCGCAGAACATTGTGCATCTGAGCTTGCCGCTTTAAGCTCTGCAGAGCATGATTTGTTTATAATAACTGACTTATTGAATATTTTCTCATGCAGTTGACATAGTATATTTTAGCGACTAGTCAGTAAGTTGTGTAGTAACAGTGTTGATATGGTTGTCTTGCTTGAGGCTTTATGCTCTTGACCTTTTCACATTTGATGTGTTAAAGCGTTAATCGAATGATGATGTCATATTTGTGAAAGGTGATGAGGTTGAGAGAGCTGGAGTATTTTGTTACTGTTAACCCTGAGCTTCACAATGCTGTCATTCATTCTCTTCTTACGTAATGAGGAGGATGTTTGAAAAAGAATCGCAGCAGATTGCTTTCACTGGTTTATTAGGCAGCCTGCGGGTTCAAACCTGTCTCCCCTTATGAAAGATTAAAACATCAGATGAAGGCTGCGGCGTACGCATTAACATACAACTTCCAGGGTCGCAGAACATTGTGCATCTGAGCTTGCCGCTTTAAGCTCTGCAGAGCATGATTTGTTTATAATAACTGACTTATTGAATATTTTCTCATGCAGTTGACATAGTATATTTTAGCGACTAGTCAGTAAGTTGTGTAGTAACAGTGTTGATATGGTTGTCTTGCTTGAGGCTTTATGCTCTTGACCTTTTCACATTTGATGTGTTAAAGCGTTAATCGAATGATGATGTCATATTTGTGAAAGGTGATGAGGTTGAGAGAGCTGGAGTATTTTGTTACTGTTAACCCTGAGCTTCACAATGCTGTCATTCATTCTCTTCTTACCTTTCACTTAATTCTTTAGTCACTGCAGGCACACACACAATTTAACACCGGTTGCAACTCTTACACATTACTTGTCTACTTTTGTGTGCGTGTATGCAGCTGCTTTTCAGAAGTTTGCATAGCAAGCACAGAACTGGCAGAACAATAGAGAAGGGTGTATATCCTGGGCCTGTGTGGAGCCCTGGTCTGTTTTAGGGTGTGTGCTTCCTATAACATGACTAGTTCCTTTTGAATTGTTTACGAAAAAAACGGTCAACTGGTATTCGGTTAGTAAACGGTTATTTTTTTCATTCATTCTTAGATATTGCCATTTCTTAGATGTTGATTTGTGTATTTTGTCTTAATATGATATTTTAAAGATTAGCATTATTTGTTTCAAGTATTTTTTTTTTTATCTTTAGCTTTTTATATATATATGTTTTAATTTTATATATTCATTTTGCTTTTTGCATGTTTTTATTCACCACCAACTTTGTCATCTATTGCATGCTGTTTTAGCAGTGGCTATTTCTTGACCGAATTATGGTTTGTTTTATTGTCTAATGCTTATGACAGAAATATATTTATTTTCAGATAAATTATATTGTTAATATTAACATAGGCTACTACATATTTGCAAGTACTTGCATATCAACATGCGTTACATCCTCACAATATTACTGAAACACAATCACTGCTGTTATTTTGGGAAAATATTCTGTATCTCTCTGCATCCAAAATTAAAAGCTTCTCGCAGTCTGGACAGCTTATAGGCTTTATTTAAGCATTGCATTACATCATCAGTCCTCCGTTACTTGCTTCCCACTGCAAAACAATAGAGAAAGGTTGCGGTTGGGCCTCTTCACTGACACTATCTTTTTTAATTCCACACACATCCGTGCATCTGTGATTTAATGGTACTCACTGTGTGGAATTCCTAATCGATTTTAGAGTCAAAACATTGAAGATGTTTCTTTTTCATATAAGTTGAGAAAGCAGGAAGTGTCTGAGTCATGGAAGTTTACTCCATGTCTGATCATTCACACGCTCCCACACTAGCACACGCCTGCGGCCAGAGAAGCCGTCCCAGCGTCACACTCAGCTCATCAAAGGCAGGGCCGTGTCAGACACACACACCCGAATACACAAAAAAGAACACTCAAGCATGTCAAAGGATAGGATATATACACGGATACACACAAGCTCTGGCACATCCTAAAGGTAGACACAAACTTTGACCAACGAAACACAAGCACATCAGATGAAAGGGTATAGACATGCATGTTAGTAATATGCCAACACGTTTTCCAAACACAAAAAGAACAGAGACATGCACACAAAGAACATACGAGAGAAGAGGCACATCTTCAGATGCAGGTACAGACACATAGTTGCTCTATCGAAACCATATAGTCATGACTTTTTTCAAAGAATGGTCTGATCTTAAAGGAGTAGTTCACCCCCCCAAAAAAAATCCCCCTTGTGTTGTTCCAAACCTGTTGGAGAGTATTTACTTTGTAAAAAAACAAAAGAATGTATTTTGAAATCTCTCTCTCTCTCTCTCTCTCTCTCTCTCTCTTTCTCTCTCTCCATACAATGAAAGTCAGTGGGATCCAATCTGTTTTGGACCTCCTTCATCGTACAGACAAAAACTGACACATTCTTTAAAATTTATTTTTTTGTGAACCACAGAAGAAAGAAAATCATACGGGATTGGAATGACATTAGGGTAAGCAAATGACAGAATTTTCTTTTTTGGGTGAACTATCCCTTTAACTAAAGGTAGTGACACGTGAAGTTTTCCATACCATACCCAAATCCACACCCATAATCCTCACATACATTCTATCCGACTATTCAAGCTCACCCCATCTGAAGTTTGCTCACACTTTAAAAAACCTCCATCTCAGTCAGTGGGTCCCGCACATATAGTGGATCTACAGAGTCATTCTGGGTCAGTTGCAGCTGGCCTGTGCTCATTTTCCCCAAACGTATTAACATGATTTAATAGACAACAGAGAGATGCATTTCAGAACCTATTGAATGAGGCGTCCTACTCTTAAATAACGTCGTTATTCTCACGCAAGAGAGATAGTAGCTTTGTACTTGACTAATGTGAGTTTTCAAGAGAAAGCATAGTGGCTAAAAGCCGATATAATGCCGTTATTGGCCTGTAATGCTAATGTTTTATGCCTTTTTGTACTGTATTTACTTGAACAAGAGAAGAAGAAAAAAAGGAAATGGAAAGTTCATGGCTGTCAGTGAATTTTGGAACTGAGACATAACCTTTTCATTAATTAGCCATGTGGACACCTGTTTTTGTACAGTGCCAATAATCATCTCAAAATAGCCAAATGTCAGCTGATTAACTGGCCTGTTCAATATTGTTCTATCCCTTAGACATACGTTTGTAATTACCGTAAGTGATAATGTGAAAAAATATTTATATTAAGTAAATATTTGTAATGTTGAAATATGCATATTGTCGTTTTCCTTTCAATTCTGAACGTGTTGCAGGTCAGTCGGCGTTGTTTTCTCGGAGAACTACGTAAACGCGAGAATGTGCGAGGTCATCTCACCCCGACCTTGCGCCTAAATGGCTTCAATCTGATTGGATCTGTGCTTTTGCCAAGATGGGGTGGTAAACATCGCAGTCCAGTTCATCAAGACTACTCATTGAGCTACGACGACAGCGAACGTAATACAACTGGTTTGTTGACCAATAACGTCTGGTCAGTAGAACATGTAGGCTATTAGAAAAACAGGAACAAATTAAAACAAATTTAGCCTATCCACTACAACCTAATATAGGCTACCATCCATTGTCATATATGTATTTTTTTTATAAACCAATTTTACGTATTGCGGATATTTTAACGCCTCTCTATCTTTGCCCAATAGGCTATTTTAAATATATTTAATTATCGAAAGGAAAATAATTGTTGCTAATATTATACATTTCAGTTGTTCCATCCATTCACACTAGTACTGTAACATAACGTAGCCTATATTCACTTGGCTGTGAGTTAAATTGTGAGCATTTGACTAGTCCAGAATTATTACACCTTGCTGGATTTGAGAAAGTATGAGGGATTTAACGTAATTTCTGAAACAAAGTGAACAATGAAAGCGACGATTATAAGTTTCTAGAACGAGCTACTGCTCGGTTTGTTTTTGGTAGATAAATGATATAGGTGGTGGTGGTGTCAAACTCAGTTAGGTTCCCTATAAGTCGCTTTTTATCAGACACCCGGAATCTTGTCTGATCCCGGGAATCCCAATACACATGCAGTCTTATAGCGGTCAATGGGCCGCCCGACGCTTCGAATGTGTATCTCACTAAGCAGGCGGAGACACACTAACCTTAAGTAGGCTATATACAACACGAGAATGACAATCACAAAATACAAGCTTTACACCTCTTTAAACGAGACTGTGTGACTCCATTAAGGTCTGTCATCGTTAGGGCGTCATGTATGGTGATTGCAAACTATTTGTCTCACCCATAATTCGCCTCTATCCAAACAGTGACAGATTTCTATTTAAATGATTAAATAAAGTCATATTTAGCATGTAACCTTAATTAAAACAATGCAATTTTAGCTAGTATAGCATGTAGCGCCTATAGTTAGCTAAATGTATATGTATGAACAAAATAGTTGAAACAAATAATATAACCCTAAAACAGTATCAATATGTTCATTATAATTATAGGCTATTATATAATTAATAGTAAGAATTAATTTGTAAGAATTATTATTTTATTTTAAGTAGGCCTATTGTAAGCTTGTACACAATTTTATTAGGCTACTTTTTTATTTAGTGGGCTAATTTAAAATATTGAATTTGATCCTTGAATTGTGGATTTGTTTCCAAACACATATTATTTCAATGCCATTTCATTTATCAAACTTACTCTGACTCTGGCCTCTGTTAAATTAGTCCAAACAGCGATTTCCTCTCTAGTGGACATGTCCGGATAGCGATTCCGTTGAAAAGTGGCCTCCAGTTCCTGGAGCTGTTGGCTAGTAAAATGCGTTCGTTGCCGCCTCTGTCTCTTCTTTTTCGATGGGTCATCAGTCGAATCTTCGTTTTTACTCTGTCCCTTCTCTTTCTCTGCAATGCAAAGTAATACAGTATTTTAAAATATATATATATATATATATATATATATATATATATATAAGGAGAAGCAGCGCCCAACACAATTTCATTGTTGCAAGCAGCTTTCATAATTAATATTAAAAAAACTCAATGGAAAGTGACGAAATTTGTGTAACTAAATGAGCTACTGAACTCTACATTTCCCTGCTTGTCCTGAAAAACCATCTGAAATGTCAAACATACTAAGTAGGGGAAAAAACTGAGAAAAGAGAAAAGGCAGTAAGGTGCTTATGAAAATGACCCGACCATCTCCTTCCCTGACTTTGATTCAGCTCACGCTCTTGTTACTGGATATTAATTTATGGCATAATATATGATCCTGGAACCGACTAATCTTGTATGTACAGGTCTTTTTGTACGAGAATGTGACCTCGCGTTCAATGCATTTGCGCTCAGACACTGCACACTATTAAAGATCATGTTTCGGTCTGTTTTCTCACACTTGCCATTCAGTTGTAATAGATTTATTTTGAATATTTAATTTATATGAATATATATACTGAATATACAAACAACATTAATGTCATGATTATTCTGGACCCCAAACAGACTAAATTAAAATATGAATGTTTTACGCACAGAAATATTAATTGTGCGCATCAAAATTCCATAGGCAAAAGTTGCAGAGCTCGATTCTTGTTAAACGCACTGATAGATGTGGACTAGATTTTTGCTCTGTGTTTATTCTGGACCCTCAAAATGCTTCAGAGCGCTCTGGATTATTGGCCATGGCGCACCACAGAGCCATTAATTACCAATTCAGTCAATATAAGGGAGACGACAAAGCCTTTCCATAGGATTAAGAGGACATTAGATTCTTCCATTAGTATATTCCTCCTCACGAGGAGGCTTTCATTACACATTTACTTTTCCCTGAGTCTATCTAATAAGTGCTGCATATATTACTGCAGAGGAGACGAGATTGTCGATGAACGTTCCACTTTTGTCACGTTAATTGGATGAGTTCACAGGGTATCACAGACCGCGTTACTAATTCATTTGTAACAAATAAGCTCAGTCCTAGACTGGTAGATAATGGCATTATATTATAAATAATAACTGTAGGCCTACAGTAGAAAACAATCAGAAAAAAAAATTCTTGAGTTTATTCCTGCTTACATTAGTTTTGCAATTTAATTTAAGGGCTGAAAACACTTTGGCGAGGTAGGCTACGTTTGTGCGCCTTGGGCCCGTGATTATTTCGCGGGAGAGAGCACCCACACTTTGCTTTTCTGAGTATGCTACATTTGATCTGATTAGGCCTATCAGACGCTCATTTGCTTATTATTTATTATTTATTTAATGACTTCAAGCATTGTTGTCTCAAATTCCTTCAAAACATTGCAATCATTTACTTATACTATAATAACCGCATTATTTTATTGAAAAGAAAAAAAAAACATTTCTTTATTAGCCCTAATTAACTGTAATTTATTTATAATTTTCCCGAACTGCATTTCTTAGTTATAAAATAATATCACGTGGGAGAAAACATATTTTTCCTAGTTGGATTGAATAGCACAGTAAATGTGTAATATATATATATATATATATATATATATATATATATATAAGGAGAAGCAGCGCCCAACACAATTTCATTGTTGCAAGCAGCTTTCATAATTAATATTAAAAAAACTCAATGGAAAGTGACGAAATTTGTGTAACTAAATGAGCTACTGAACTCTACATTTCCCTGCTTGTCCTGAAAAACCATCTGAAATGTCAAACATACTAAGTAGGGGAAAAAACTGAGAAAAGAGAAAAGGCAGTAAGGTGCTTATGAAAATGACCCGACCATCTCCTTCCCTGACTTTGATTCAGCTCACGCTCTTGTTACTGGATATTAATTTATGGCATAATATATGATCCTGGAACCGACTAATCTTGTATGTACAGGTCTTTTTGTACGAGAATGTGACCTCGCGTTCAATGCATTTGCGCTCAGACACTGCACACTATTAAAGATCATGTTTCGGTCTGTTTTCTCACACTTGCCATTCAGTTGTAATAGATTTATTTTGAATATTTAATTTATATGAATATATATACTGAATATACAAACAACATTAATGTCATGATTATTCTGGACCCCAAACAGACTAAATTAAAATATGAATGTTTTACGCACAGAAATATTAATTGTGCGCATCAAAATTCCATAGGCAAAAGTTGCAGAGCTCGATTCTTGTTAAACGCACTGATAGATGTGGACTAGATTTTTGCTCTGTGTTTATTCTGGACCCTCAAAATGCTTCAGAGCGCTCTGGATTATTGGCCATGGCGCACCACAGAGCCATTAATTACCAATTCAGTCAATATAAGGGAGACGACAAAGCCTTTCCATAGGATTAAGAGGACATTAGATTCTTCCATTAGTATATTCCTCCTCACGAGGAGGCTTTCATTACACATTTACTTTTCCCCTGAGTCTATCTAATAAGTGCTGCATATATTACTGCAGAGGAGACGAGATTGTCGGTAATCAAGTCGCTCCAATGTCTTTTCCCTCTTACATTGCTGTTTGCATTTTATGCTCACTTTTTCCTTTTATCTCTTATCCGCTATATCTGTATCGGTTCTAGTCCAAATAACAATGGGACATGGGATGTAATGACAAACGGACTAATGCGGCTAAATAAGTGTTGTGATTTGTTCTTAGTTTGCTTTAATTAGCTTAATAAAGCTGCCAGATGACCTGGAGACCGGCCACGCATTAAGTACCATCCTTCTAGTAGCCTGTACAGTTTTCCTTATAGTTTTAATTTAGTCTTTTTACGTTTCTGTTTAAATTGTTCTTGTGCACTAAATTATAGAAATAGAAAATGGTGATATATTTGCGCTTAATCTGCCTGCTACAGTCTATCATGCTGAATTGTAAGTAGGCAATATCAATTTTTTTTTATCTTAATAGCCACGTTTTTTTTCATTGAGGATGCACGTGATCACCACAAATAGGCTACATTTTATCATAGGCATTTTGAAGAATCGGATCAGTATTTTGTTTGAACAAATTCAAGATATTTTAGACATCACAAACCTTTAAAATCACACAGCCTTTGGCTTTAAAACTCTAAAGTCATCTAAATACGCTGCTAAACTATACCGTAAAGACGTCCCCACTCATCCATGATCCTGTCCTACCACCAGATGTCCATCTTTGACTATAAACGTCTAATTGTTCCGCTTTCCTTATAACCAGTCATATGTCAAACACCAAAGGTAGTTTACACACGCCTTACTTTTACATAAACCAGTTTTTCTAGCTGCGATTGCTATTTTATATAGGCCAGACAATGTTGAGATGTTTGATTAAACAAACCAAGGATATTAATGAATCCAGATCTTCTCTGGAGATTTAACAAAGAGGGGGGCTTGTCATTCACCAAGATCTTCTTACCTAATTGAGCACACGTTGATGCAAGTTTGCGGCAGTGGGAGTCCATTTGTTAGATTAACGTTGAGCACCTGTGAAAAAAGAGAAGTGTTTATTTTATATTTTACTCAAATGTTCATGTTATATTAGGAATAGTCAAATGTGTAGGCCAACTTCTGTTTGAGAATGTTTAGTTGGACGTTTTCACACATGACCGACTGGGCCACTCAGTGATAATATATTTCAAATCCATTCATATATTGGATAGGTCCTGTCTGTGATGGGATGTGCACATTCCTCATCATTTGTTTTGAAATCCCTTAGCGCTTGCTGGAGTCCCTCCTAATTAAGACTCGTGTCTCCAAGCGCACATGAAAACAACGCACAAAGAGGAGAAACCATGCACCGCGTGTGTGTGTGTCAGTGAGAGAAAGAGAGCAGTTTGAGCGCTGGAAGTTGAGTGATTCTGCGGTAAAATCAGGGGATTAGTGTCTGATTGAGATGTCTGTCGGTTGGATATTACAAAATTCATTATCGCAGCTCTATACTAACCCGATATGAAGTAACACAGATGGGCCTTTATTAGCCCAGGCTTCAGCTGTTTGCTTATGATAATTTCAGTCGGAAATTTGCATGCAATCCTGCTGTTAACCGTTTTCCCTCTCAATTTTTTTCTCTCGCCGAATGCAACGCTTTGCTTCAGCCCTCGCCTTATATCACCTGCCTCGCATCTGTGCCTTTAGTCCAAGGCTTGGAAATTAAATTTGTGTGCGTTTCTTTGTATATGTGTGCCGCGTAATATGCAATTCGTGTGAGGGCGGAAGTCATTCATCTAAATATTATTTTGAGATGCTACACTCTAAAAAATGCTGGGTTGTTTCAACCCAATGTTGGGTCAGATATAGACTAACCCAACTGTTGGGTTACATTTTGGTTACATTTTTAAATTAGCTTTTTAACCCAACAGTTGGGTTAGTCCATATCTGACCCAACATTGGGTTGAAACAACCCAGCATTTTTTTAGAGTGTAGTATAAAGTTACAAAATTATTCTAAATAGTTGTCTAAATGATGTACCACACAGAGTAGGCTGTGAAATGGCCAACTAAAGTTGCGTCTTTCGTTATTCTGAGCGTCTTCCGTGGCACCCGTTCCGTTTTATTTAGACTTATTTCGTTAACTTTCTTAAATTAATTTGATTAATTTATTATTTGTTTATTTATTTATTTGTAGATTTGTAGTTTGTTTTACGCGAATTTAATACAAATGTCATGTAAGAAAATGTACTCTGACCACCAGGTAATTTTCAAAAGGGAAAAGGGCATGACCTAAGTGCATAAGATTTTAACTTGGGGTACATCGATGCAAGTTTATCAACAGATGAAAATATGTACGCAGAAAACGTGTGTATATTTCTGTAATGTATTTATTTTTTATTTTAGTGTTTTTAAAATTTAGTCGACACAATAATAACAGCTAATAACAGCAGAGCTTAATATTACTACTGATAATAATAATAAAAAGGTATTCTTTGCCATTTTCCCCCCGACAATTAATTGGGGAAAATCGTTTCTTTTCTTTTTTTAAATTGGTAATATTGTTTCCACTTAACATTGTGGGATGATTGTCTCAGAGTCTTGCGCGCCTATAAAGATTTATTAATAAAGTGATTTAATTTAGCGTTGCGTGTGTGTATGCATCTTTTTTTCAGCTAAGCGTAATTAAACTTAATTCATTGGTGTATAAATGAATACTATGAAACCACTGTATTTGATTACAGAAATATTTCAATAAAAGACGAAAGTCTTATCTTTTAAAATTAACTTGTTAACTGGTATTTGCATAAATGTAATCCTAGATCATAAATAATTATTTAAAATGTATCTTTTAATTTAAATGGTTAATTTAGTAACTCATTTCATCGCAAATAATACAACAATATTCATTTTAGGAATGTTGCTACGAGTATTTAAAAATAAAAAAATAGGTTGATAGCAATTTTTGAAAGCAGATTTCGTTAGCATGATATATTTCTGTTTGTGCTAACCAATAATACATGTGATAATGTAAATTACACGCTATAACTATAAAGTTGTCCGTGTCCCGTTTGTCTCACGGTGTTAACGATATATTATTATCAACTGCAAAGTCAAGGTGAGACCTGCCAGAACATCACTTATCATGTCTCTCCATCTAACTACACTAAAGCTGAAGTTCACCCGTGGTTGGCAACCCTGAGGTGGAACGAATTCCTTCACTTGCATTATCTCACATTCAAGCTAGGGTGTCATGTGCACTTACCAGTGGTTGTTGAAAAGCGGCGCTTTGCAGCCGTGCCAGTCTTGATTTTCTTAAAAAAAAAAAAAAAGATAAATTCCACACCTCTGAACAAGTTTATCTTTGCCCTTGATCTTGTCCGGGTACATAAACTGTTGCTACCAGGTCCAAAAGGAGCGTAACCTCTTCTTCATCAATGAGATCGATTAGGGATATCTCTGGGTTCTTTCAAAGAACGCGAAAACAGACATATATTACCTACAACCCAGAGTGTCATAAGCTACAAACTCGTAAGTTGCTTTAGTAACTCATGTTTTCGGCAGAGCCTCCACGACAGCAACTTTTACCGCAGAAAGACGCAGAGTGGTGCGTTTCCCCCTCTCACGAGCTTTGACTGTCAGCGCGTGGGCGTGAATGTGAGAGTTTGTGTGTTTTAGCGTGTGCGTGTGCATGCGTGCCACAGTGGGTTGTATGCACAACCAACACGTTGAGTAGGCTATGTGTAAGGGGTAAACTTTGTGATGCGAAACGGTAGGCTAAATGAGAAAACAAATTAGCCATTAAAACACGTAATACGTTAATTCAACCAGCAAATGTAACTCGATGAACGCGAAAACCCTCACGGCTGAATACTAATCAAATCAAGGTATTTTATGTAACTGCCATTAAACGCGCAACTGTCATAAAACTGTCCACATTCATTTCTTCGTTTGTTAAGTAGCAGAGATACCGACTGATATAAAGAAATCCGAAAATGAGACTAGTTACGAACTTGTGGGTTAAACTAGTTTAAAGGTTTATTTGTTTCTTGCTTTTCCATTATAATATATATATATATATATATATATATGTTTACAGGCCTATTATTTGTGTATTTTGAATTATTGTATGTACTCCATGATATACTACAATAACACAGGTATATAGTCTTGACAGTCTTATCCAAAACTGAGAAGGCCTAAAGATGTGATGGCAATCATCGGATGACAACAAATTGAGTAGTTTTAATTGGATTTATTAATTTGATTTGATTTTTTTATAATAATACATTTTAACTGACAACATTGCTGTAATTTAAAATGCTAACTTGTGCTGAAAAGTGTGTGTGCTTAATCTGTGTCGGTCAGGAATGAAGTGAACAGCTGGCTTGGATGCAAATAATCTTTAAAGATCCGCGAGCATCGATGATATACTACAATAACACAGGTATATAGTCTTGACAGTCTTATCCAAAACTGAGAAGGCCTAAAGATGTGATGGCAATCATCGGATGACAACAAATTGAGTAGTTTTAATTGGATTTATTAATTTGATTAGTTTTTTTATAATAATACATTTTAACTGACAACATTGCTGTAATTTAAAATGCTAACTTGTGCTGAAAAGTGTGTGTGCTTAATCTGTGTCGGTCAGGAATGAAGTGAACAGCTGGCTTGGATGCAAATAATCTTTAAAGATCCGCGAGCATCAGACTGATTTCCATCCGCATCTCACGCGAGCAAAGCAGACCGGACGGAGGTTTCACGCGCCTAATCCGTTTTTTACATTGTGGGTCATACACCCATTAAGCAAGTAATTAATGCGCTCGGCCATGGGGGGATTCCCAAGCCTGTGTTGGAATACCCCACTCTCTGTCACAGCTTTAATGGGCCTTCCTGGGAGCCTAAAATGACATGCATTTTTATCTGTAATTCTGCACGCTGACTTTTGTTATTATCTACTACAATTACCTGATACAAATATCAAACAAAAACTAACTCAACGAGCACCTCTTTGTTGTCGCAAATAGATCCAATCGCTATCCTCCGTGTGCGAAGTGTATTTAAATTGTTGCTTCAAAATACTTTCTTTTATCCCAACATTTTTTTTTCTATAATTTTTAATAAGGATTAATAAGGACATTATTTATCAAGCATCAATCTCGTTTACATAAATCTGCCTATTTTTAGTTTCCAGTTATAACCAAAATGGTGCCACAAATACCCTTTTATTCTCTTCTTTATAAAATTATCTATGTTGTGATTTTAAAGACCTCAGAAAACACTTATTTGACTAATCCATAAAAATATAGATAAATAATTCTATCAAGAACTTTTCAATCGCCGAAGAACTATACAGCCTTTGCAGCCAAAATAATTGATAAGATTCTTATCTAATCCTGCAGGGTGCATTAAAGAACCATTGAAGAAGCCCCCCACCCCCCCACCCCCTCCTTTTTTTTAGAGTGCATGTCAATCACATCCGTCTCATCCGAATAGCGGTTCTGTGGGAGAGATGCGTCCTTGCATCGTTCTTACCTTCATCTGGCAGCAGCTGGAGCCTTTGCTTTCTCACGCTGAAAAAGCCTGCAAAGGAATGCCTAAAGTTCAGAAAAAGGGGTCGCTCGAAGATCTTCATGCCTCGGGGGCAGACCGGCGGCTTCTTTTCATTTCTGCCTCGTTATCGATTCGCTGTTGTCATCTTTGGCGTCGTAGAAGGACACTTGAAAGAATATCGTACAGGGCTCTGATGTGTGGACTGAAATGACCCGAACAAAACTCTGTTCAAAGACTTTACAACCACATAAACCTCTCCATGATAAGGCAGTGATGTGTTGTGAATATGCTCATTGTCAGTGATAAATAAATATGATGAAATGCATAAACATATGTATAGATATCAAGGTGAATGTAAAGGTGAACTATATTGAATGTAGTTAGCATGCTTTAATTGCCTAATAGTTGGTACATGCTTCATACAATTACTTAAATGACAACCAGAAACCTATAACTTCAGTATTTCTATATTAACTTCTAAAATGGATACAATTTGATCAGTAAAGGTAATGCAGTGCATAAAACTGTTTTCAACTTTTGTTTTAGGATCGGTTTACATGGATGATTTGTCTTTTGAGAGGTCACAGTATTTTGTGTCAGTTATTGTTTATTTTAGTAATAGTATAATATGACTGACGGATTATTTCTCATGCCCCCATAAAACAATGATTTTACTAAAATGAAAATGTCTTGGTTTTCAGCACATTTCCTGGTACAGTGCAATGATTTGACCAATACTGGCAAAAAACAGAAGGTGTGAAAGATCTATTTCTATCACAGTTTAGACCCCCCTGACATGGGTAATCGCTTCAGCGTAACAAATTATTTTTTGCTTTTGTTCAGTTTGGATTCATTAAGGGTGAAATGAGTTTCACATAAGGAATCAATTAAATATGACTTAGTTTGTCAGGCCGTGGGCACAATAAATAATTGTATGTTTCATTATGATGCCATTCAACACACAAGAAGCTCTGTTTGCTCAACCAGAGCAACTATAGTTTGACAGATTATTAATGTAACCCAGATTATAATCACAGTGCTGCTTCATAGATTATACTCAATTACTGTAAACAGTGGCTGTCACACACTACTGTCTTCATGCAGTGTTTTATATGATACTTCCAGCGTTGCTTGTCAAAGTAGTGCACACAAAGCCACAAACCATTAAACAAATCAGTTTATGTACTGCTAATATGTTAGACCAGCAGTATTACCATGAAGAGAGAATTTATTGTGTGTTTAGTTTCTTTACCATGACTACTTTTTGTTAGGAAGATAGCTCTGGAGGGGAGCGATGGGAAAAGTGCCTGATGAGGAAATATTGAATCTCTAGGGGGGAAAAAAAGACAATGTGAATTTCCATTTGCCAGGTTGATTTGTAAAATTAGCTAATATGCTCAAGAGCCCTTCATTAGCCTTATGGCTGTTTTATCGACAGTTCTTGAAATGGCTAAAAAAGGTTTCAAAACTAGCATTCAGACTGTGAGAATATTCTGGAACACATACAATGCCATCGCATACATATGCACTGTGGTTAACATTTACTATCATGACCAGGCCCATGAAGGACGAATATGGAAAGCAGTAGGAGTCAGTACCTACACACACATGCCACACTGAACCCAGCAATGCTGTAGTATATATTTAAAAAACACTCAACTGTTTGTCTTTGGCCGATATGCTATTAACATCTCATTTACATTGGTTGCAAAACGTTTCACTGAAGTAATGTGGTTTTGAATGTTAAATGATTTAATACCGTTTAGTTTAGTGCAGTGGATAAGGCAGCATTACTTCAGGTTAAACTAGTCTTCCCATTTTTATTACATTGTATTCTACAAAACATATATTATATAAAATAATGGTGACAAAAATACCCCGTTAACAGAATGTTGTTAACAGTGTTATATTAGTAACATTTCTGTACTAGTTTAATAATATTTGGAATTGGCTTTTATTTTTTTAATTTAAAGGTTTAATTTGTTTTAGTTTTAGTTTTAGTTCAGCTTAAACTTTTTTTTTTCTCAGTTAGCTGCCAAGGCAACATTTCGTATTTTCATTTATTTGAAGTTATTTATTTTGTAACATTTTAGTACAATTTAATCTACCTATTTTATTTCATTTAGTTACCAAGGCAACATTTCTATTTTCATTTACGTTTTTAAGTGCAAGTTGTTCATCTAATATCTGTATTAATTTTAGTACAATTATTTAAACATTTTAGAACAATTTAACACTAGTAATTTTAGTACTTTTTTGTGCTTTTGTCTCTTTTTCTTTTTTTACTATTTAGGTTTCATTTTATTTCAGTTTTAGTTTAATTTAAACTTACTTCAGTAAGCAAGGTAACATTTCTAATTTTTGTTTTTTAATCTAATATTTACATTTTATTTCAGCCTTATTATAATAAACATATGTTTTAATAGTTTTAGTTGTTAATGATAATGACGAGATCACGTATATGTCTGTTTATCAGACTTTACTGAAGTGTGTATATATGTGTGTGTGTGTGTGTGTGTGTGTGTGTGTGTGTGTTAGAGATCTGAAATTATATAAAAAAAATTCTAAATTTCTACATTTTCTATAATATTATTATAATATATATTATATATATATATATATATTATATATACTCAATATATAACAAGTTGCTTATGTATCTTTTTTTTTTAAATATGAGTTGAAAATATAAATGTGATCACAGTGTTAATTACTGATGCAAGGGGACCAATAAACAGCTGGAGTGAGAGTGGTTAGCTGCGGTGATGCCCGTGAGTTGCCAGAGGGAAAATTGCCGAATAATGAAATGGAAGTAATGAGAATAAAATGATGGACGCCAGCACCCCGGTCATCAGCAAAACAGATCAGATGGTTACTGAACCATTGACAATAACTACTCAGGTGCACCAAAACCTCCACTAGAGTCAGCTTAGTGTTTAATTAGTCCACTGCGACTGAGAGAGACAGACAGATAGAGACGTAAAGTGAAAAGGAAAAGTCATATTATCAATATTGACAATGCAAACATCTTTTGTGCTTTTACCTTACACAC